ATAGTCAATAAAATGTAAAGGAAAACTAAATGGGATAATACTATACATCCTTCAGAATTACTAAAACTAAAGAGACAATACCAGTGTTAGATGATTGTGGAGTAACTAGAATTCTCATGTACTGCTTATTGGAATGTAAATTGGTAATAACAATCATAAATGAACACATGTGTACCTTATAACCTAGCAGTTTTATTTCTGGATACACACACACACACACACACACACACACACACACACACACACACACTGTAATACATGTACACCCTGTAATGCATATAAAAAATACATGCAGGACAGATACAAGTATGTTTATAGCAGCATTATTTGCAGAAGTCTAAAACTACAAATACCTCAAATGTCTGTCAGCAATAGAATGAATTTTGATAGTCATATATTTATCCAGTGGAATGCTATGTAGCCATAAAAACCAACCATCAGCTGCTACAGACAATAACAGATTAATTTCAATAAATACCGAACAAAATAACACATATGATGTTCAAAAGCAGAGGAAACTTACACAAGAGTGGCTTACCTTTGGGAAGGGGCATGAGGAAGACTTCTTGAAAGCTAGCATTCTTTCTTTTCTGAACTTGGATGGAGATTACATGCTTTCACATTGAGATAATTCATTGAGCTCTTCACTTGTGGCTTGCATACTTTTGTATGTCAAACTTTAATTTTAAAATTTACTTAAAGGTGCAGGCTCTAATTGCTATCCATTTGGAAAACAGATTTTAAAAATATTTCTGAAACAAGATAAATAGTTTATATCTGTAATATAAAAAGAGTTTCTAGTTGGTGATTTGGAAGAGACAAATAGCCCAAGAAAAAAATAGGCAAAGAATATAAGTAGGTAGCTCAGAAAACTGGAAGTCAAAATGGCCAACAAACCTATGACAATATGCTCAGTAGTCACCTGGAGTTTAAAAAAAATTGTAATATTCATTGTTAACTATTGGGCCTATGAAAATAGATGAGAAGGGTACTTTTACTTTATTTTTGAAAATGTGAGTTTTAGGAAGGTAAACGATTCAAATTTAAAATACACATACCTTCAATCTAGCAATTCCACTCCTAGGAATAAATTTTATAGGCTTAAAAGCCTTACAAGGATGTTCAACTTAGCATTGTTTTAGTAGCAAAAAAAAAAAAAAATTCCTGAAATCCACCCTAATATCCATTAGCTAGGAAGTAGTTTAATACAAATTGTGTTTTACAATAATGAAATATCATGCAACTGTTAAAAAAGGTTTTTATTAGTTTATATTTCCTTGTATATATAAAAGTATGTGAGAAAAATAAAAATGTCAAAAAGATCTCTAATAGCAAGAACAAAACTCCTATATATATATTTATAGGTTTCTATGATTTTTTAAACATGGGGAGGTATATGAAAGACTATATTTCAAGCTGTCAACATTGATCACTAGGAGGAATGATTGGAGAAATGACAAAATAAAGGTATAAGTGGGAAAAAAGCATATGATATGAGTCCACTGATGTAGAAGGTTGTTTTGTCTAGGTTGTGTGTGTGTGTGTGTGTGTGTGTGTGTGTGTGTGTGTACGTACGTACGTACACAAGGGGGACCCACCCCAAAATGCCAAAATGGAATTTATTTGTAAAAAATTGTGTATTTATTCTTACATGTTTAAACTTCAGTCACCTTCCAAGTACTCTATGTTTGATGCATTGTATTTATCAAGACGCTTTTTCCACTGCTCAAAACAGTTTTTAAACTCATCAATTTGGATGCCTTTTAGTGTTCCTGCCATTTTTTGTTTCACCTCTTCCACACTGTCAAAACATTTCCCTGTGAGGACTTTTTTTGTTTACCCTGATGAAACAAAAAAAGTCCTTTTTTCATCTGGGGAAACAAAAAAAGTTACTCGGGGCTGAGGTTGGATAAATAGAGAGGGCGAGGCACAGGGATCATGCCATTTTTGGTCAAAAACTGCTGATCACTCAACATGGTGTAGGCAGATGCTCTTGTTGATCACCCATCATGAAATGGACAAACGCATTGAAAGAAAAAAATTCACTGAAGCTGAGTGTAGCCTCTCACAACAATGCTAGCTGGTACACTCATGCCGATGGGTTCCTAGAATAGTTACCTAACAGGGGAATCCTATACTAAAAAGGGGCCCACCCTCCAAAAGACAAATCCGGTTTTGGGGGGTTGCCCCTCATATGTATGCATGTAATTAAAACCATACTCCTTGGCCTTTGCCAACCTCAAATTCTGGTATCTCTTTAATATCAAGGAGTCTATTTTATTGGCTAATCTCCCACCTGCATCTTCAGCCTACTCAGAACACTCACTACATTAAAGAGACATATATTCAAATGTATAGTCTCAATACCTTAGTGTAAAGGGTCCTTGGACCTTTGGGAGTAGGGTCATGATTTAACACTTTAACATCCACATTTCCTTAGTCTTTGGATTTCTTCTTACAGAAAATTATGTTGAGAAATCTCAGGGGCCTTTAATGAGGGCCACTATCGTGCTCAGGCTTTAGTCAGTCAGCCAAACTAAACAACTAAAATCACTTCTGGCTATTAGAGCTAGTTCTTATTGTACCTAGAATGTCTGGTGAGAGTTCTTATGTGATCATTTGAATCCAACATAAAATTTTATTTCTATAAAATGTATTCAATTCTGTACCATTCATTTAACTGTCCTTTCCTCTGTTAAAGTGTAAGTTTAAAACTTCTTAGAAGCAAGGTCTGTCTGTGACTTGTCTATCTTTTGTGGTGCCTTATACATATAAACACTTGGTAAATACTTATTTGAATGAAGAGAGTGATGGCAAGATTACCATGAGCTACTGCAGTGACAATTTTCATTGTGTGGGTCTGTACCATGCATTGCAAACTGTTTGCGGTCTCTACCTCCTGCCCACTCAATGTCTGTAGCACTCCCTTGTCATTCCAACAACTAAAAATCTACCCACACCTCCAAATTCCAGAAACTTTTGGGAGCAGGTCAGTGCTACTCTGCATGAGAATGACAAGGCTAGAGTAATTGAAGAAGTGTTTCTAAGGATAGTAGTGCCTGAGCTAAAGTTTGAAAGATAAGTAGGATTTTTAAACCCAAGTTTCTCTAGGACACAAACAGCATTATAAAAGAGGTAGTAATGCTGTGTAAACCGTCTTAACTGATGAAGTGGTGTTGTCTATATTGGAAAATAGTTAGAAATATAATTGGATAGGTTGAGTGAAATTAGAAGTGTGTTCATTGGAAGGAGTCCGACAGAGGTGAGAGGAGGGTGAAGTGTCATTTCACTCTCTAATGCAGCCTGCATACTACTGCCAAATTAATTTTCTTTCTTTTTTTTTGAGTTGGAGTCTCTGTCACCCAGCCACCACAGCCTCGACCTGCTGGGCTCCAGCGATCCTTCCACCTCAGCCTTCCAAGTAGCTGGAACTACAGGGGCGCGCCACCACACTCAGCTAGTTTTTGATTTATTGTAGAGATGAGGTCTCACCAAGTTACCCAGGCGGGTCTCGAACCCACGGCCTCAGACAATCCACTGACCTCAGCCTCCCAAAGCGCAAGATTACAGACTGAGCCACCGAGGCCGGCTGATTTTCTAAAACATCGTCCTGTTCAACAGTCCACTTAATAGTACTGTTGCTGCATGCTCTAGGCATTTTATCTCATTGTAATCCTATAACGTTATCTCTTATTACTCCTTAAAATTAACTAGGTAAGGCTAGCTGACTGATCAAACTGATATTTTCCCCTCTTGTCAATAAGCTCACGTCATGCTTCTATTAATATCTTTCTTTCTATAAATCTATCATCATTCTGCCTAAACCACTTCTTATTCTTAGAAACCTTCTCCCTAATGAAACTGGTCCATACTACTCCACATCATACTGATACTGCCTTTCTCTTTCTTATGGTTTTCCCCATAGTACTTAGCATGAAAGTGTACATGGCTTTTTTTGCTTCTCATTCTTGTTTCTCTGAATAATTTGTATTCTCCCAAAGAACTGTGTGAAGTTAAGATATATGCCCCACAATATTTTTGTAAACCTCCAAAAGCAATTTTGTTTTTGTTTTGTCAGTCAATATCGGCATTGCCTTTTATATGAAATTATTTGATAAAGGAGTAAATATTGAGCACCCTGAAAACTCAAATTCTGCATTTGTAGATCACAAAATTTTAATGTTGCAGCATTATAATGTTTCTCATTTTAACTTGTCAAATTTTTTTGTTTTAATAACTAGATTTAATTATTTGGGTGGTTAGGGACAATGATGTGTATATCTCTATGCCCCACAGTGCCTAGTAGAGTACATTGTTCACAGTAGCTACTCATAATTTAAAATTTAATTGATTTTTATTCTGTCAATTTGCCGTAACCATGTTCAGACCATTGTTTTGTTTTGCTAACAACAGAGGGCACTATCAAGGTACTTGTACACCCAGTAGTCCTATCCCAGTCCTTAGTAGCTTTCTTGAGCCACACTTTCTTTATCCTAAGTAGTGTCATAGAAAGTCGGATAATATGCTGAATAGAAGTGGTCCGTTTCTAACTATAGAGCAATATTGGTTTTAGGTTATTTATTTGAAAAAGAATAAGTATGTCATATTTTGATTCTTTGTAGTTTTCAAACTTTTTTGTATTCCTCTCATTATTTGTTCAAATGATGTCTTGCCTGGGATCTTACTATATCACTTAGATACATTCCTTTTCTGACTGAGAAGACAGCTGGAAGTTGGCAATCTGGAGCCCCACCTTTGTGCTCCTCATTCCCCATCCAAACAGCACAACTTGAAAATCACTGTAACTCATCCGATGTAAAAAATGCTTTTAAAAAGGTTGTTCTGTGATATCTCATTTAGGAACTTAGTTTAAAAATAGAAACATTTTAGTTTTAAAGTGATTTTTAAGTACAAAGGAAAATGCTCTGGAATACATTTCTTGTTTCAGCAATAAAAGAGTTAATATACTAAGCAGTAGAGACTGAGATATCGCAACTGCTAAACGGGATAGTGCTTTCTGTCTCTGTCATTTGTGGTTTAAGAAAAAGGGGGTGGTGTTCTGCATTTGAAAGGACTTTAATGAATGCCTTCAGTGTTTGTGAGACCTAATGGTCAGTATGGGAAAAGAGAGCAGGGAAAGTGGTCGAGCTGCTTCAGGATAGGTAGATGAGAGTTTGCTCTGATTGAACGGAATGTTCCACCGTGTTTCATCGTTATTCATTATCCTTTGTTCTTTAAAATCTGATATGTTGGCGTAAAAGTAAATAGATCTATATGCATGCATGTGATTTATTTTCCTTTACATCTTTTTGTTGTGTACAGCAGGGCATATACTTCTCTTGTCTTGGTTGGATGCACAAATCTGTGTGCTTTTTGCCCGTTGCCTAGACGATCACTTGGTTTCTCTGAGGATGTCTGGTTCTCGTAAAGAGTTTGATGTGAAACAGATTTTGAAAATCAGATGGAGGTGGTTTGGCCATCAAGCATCATCTCCTAATTCTACAGTTGACAGCCAGCAGGGAGAATTTTGGAATCGAGGACAGACTGGAACAAATGGTGGGAGAAAGTTTTTAGATCCATATAGCCTACAATTGCCTTTGGCTTCAATTGGTTACCGAAGGTCCAGCCAACTGGATTTTCAGAATTCACCTTCTTGGCCAATGGCATCCACCTCTGAAGTCCCTGCATTTGAGTTTACAGCAGAAGATTGTGGCGGTGCACATTGGCTGGATAGACCAGAAGTGGATGATGGCACTAGTGAAGAAGAAAATGAATCTGATTCCAGTTCATGCAGGTTGATTATTTTCTTACTGCTAGAAAAGGGGTGTGGGGTATGTTCTCTATAATGTTTTGCATTTACTTAGTATTATTTAAAAATCTATGATTATGTATGTACATGTACATATTTATATATAAAATATCTTGGTATGAACATGTGCTACTTTTGCTAGAATTTTTTAAAAATGATCTAATATTTGGTAAAATTATAAAGACAACAAATAGCATTCATTTTGAAATATCTGTGTTCTATATATAGATCTGGCTCTGCTTTGAAAATAATATATAGTAGCAATTTTATACATCATTGCCTTGCAGTTTTGGTTCATTCACTTACCTTTTGTATTCACAGCAAAACTATAGAAGACATTTCTATGTGACATTTTAGCTTACAACAAATTATAGTCATTTTTTAATTAAATGAAAATGAAATAGGTGCACACTATAGTTGCCAATTTTTGACATCACTGTAGTTGTCAATAGTATTTTTCTTATGGTTATTTCTCTTTGTCTTGTCTATGTTGCAGCTCTCCAGACTAATACAGAGAATACTAAGTAATGTGTCTCTTTATAAGATGACAGCTACTAATTCCTGTTACAGTGACTTTCACTGAAATTTATGCTATTTGGGAAAAGGAAGGACATTTTTTCAGTAGAGTTTAGGGAAATGTAGAGGAGCTAGATGTGGTCAATTGGTGAAATGGGCAAGAAGAAGGGAAAATGAGTTAGAAGAAAGAAAATACAGAAAAAATTGCTATTTCATAATGACTTTATCCATCTTTACCCTTGGAATCTGGCTTTATCTTTGAAATGGATTTTCTTACTAATCAGTTTAAACTACAGTAACATATTATGTAACAAGTTAGAGCATGAAAATCATCTTTCTGATCTTCATTCAAAAATATTTCTGAATATTTAAAGGTACAAATAGCTTTTCATTTGTCTAGCTTGATTGTTGTATTCTTTTTCTTTTAAAATTTTTGTGAAGGTTTTGGTAACACTTGTAATTTGCAAGTCAGTTATTTATGATGCAGGCATCATTTGGATTAAGACAAAATGAATTCATATATTCAGGTATCTCTTACTTGGGGATATTTGCCACCTTTCCTCTTCTGGCCTTCAGAACATAGGATTCTAAACTGTGGTGTTGGAATGATAGATAATATAGACCAGTCATCTGTAGTAATTTGTGTAATAGAGAGAGAGGAATATATACACAGGTAAATAGGGGGATTTAACATTTTTAAAATTAGTTCATGCTTTGGCATTTTCTTAAAGAAATAGTCACTAATAATTTTAATGTGGAGATCAGTTGAGCTAATGTGGTTTCATTGTTTTGTATTTTCTTTGGAGACTTGTTGCCATAAAGAATAATTGATATAGTAAAATGTTCATGGTTTATCATTTTTACGGGAAACCAAAGAGCGACATCATTCCATTTGAAAATCAATACATTATATCACGAATTTTTTTTAAAAATTAGAAAAAACATTTGTTTACCAACATAGGTAACCTAATATAAAACTCTTTAACCATGCATTTATTATCTCCAGAGACTATAATTGGAGTATAAAAGTTTTATATGTGTATAATCTTGGAAAGAGTATATACATGTCGGTTGCTATAATTTACTTCCTTATAACAAAGGTTCTTTACATAGCTAGTGATTACTGAAAAAAAAATTAGTCTATTCTTTATTATGCATATTATCTTGGTGGGGTATTTGTTATGAAAGAAAAAGATTATTCTTTTTTCACTGAGAGCTTACTATGTGCATTCTTTAAGAATATAAAATTGACATTTTTATTTATAAGAGATAAAAATAAAATGATATTTTTAAAAATCTAAAGCATAGTTGTTTTAAAAATGCTAGTCAAGACTCATCAAAGTAAGATGGGAGAAGACAGGTTACATCTTTAGTGATGAAACTATTCCTAAAATATTAGTTTGAAAATAAAATGTACTGAAAGAAAAGTCTCTGATTTTTAGAAATGAGAGGAAATATGCTAAAGCAATTTAATATTCCTGATGGTTTCAAATTTTAATCTTAACATCTTATTGCAAAAAAGGATTGGAATATTTTTTGTCTTGATAAAAAATATTCAAGATTTTAGAAATGTCCTTTGTGTGTATACTTTTAGGTCATTTTTTTCCTAGATTAAATATATCTGATTCTTACATTTTCCTTCAATCCTCTGGCTCTGAGTCTTTGACCTTTGTCATAAGAATACATTTATTTGCCCTCAGCTTTTTGATTAAGTGAGCAGTCAGACTTCACTAAGAGGTGCCCTTGTACTGTAAACAAATCAAAGCCTGTCACTGTTAATGTCAAAAGAAACTACACTGACATTCATAAAATTTTTGTGTATAACTTTGGAACCGTTTTTTTCATGTATAATATTTGCAAATAAAGAACTAGGAAACATTTTGAACATACTATAGGTTGATATCTTAAAATATTAAGACAATGAGAAAATGCATATGATAGACTGATTGCTTATTAAAATAGTCATAATATTTACATAGGTCTCAGAACTTAATCTGAAATTTTGTGTAATTAGAAAAAGAGAAAGACGACTGAATAGTTTTGGATGCTCAGAATCATATCAGCCATAGTGGATCTGCGCAATTTAAAGCAGGAGTTAAGAGGCAGCATATGTTGGTAATATGTTCTATCATTTGTGTTCCAGCAAGTAGAAATGCCTGCCTGAGCCTTAGACTTCTATAATTTCTGCTGCCATCCACCAATTGAATTGCTTCTCACCTTTTCATTTTGATCTGGTGTCTGTAGCCTAGCCACCTTTTCTCCATGAGAGTCATCTAGGTGATTACTTTGGCATTAAAATATAAACTTTGTATTCTTATACCATAAGGAATTTTAGACTTTAAGAGGATCATCACCTTTTATGTGAGCAATAGATTCCTAAGACTTTAATTCAGTACTAATTTACACCAGAGCTAGCAAAGTTTCTAGGGTACATACCATCACCATGTGACCGTAGTATAAACACAGTTTACAACTTCCCTTGATTTACCCACTTTGACAGTGTGTAATTTTGACATATTTTTTAACTGAGAAAATTATATTGTTTCAAATTTTGTTTATAAAGTTAGAATTTAACATTTTGCACATTGTGCTTAGTCATTTTGCATAATATTTTACTGCACTTTGCAAATACAGACACTTCTATATTTAAGATGGTTCAGCTTACAATTTTTCAACTTTACAATAATGCAAAAGTGATATGTATTCAGTATGCTCCTTGACTTATGATGGTTACATCCCAATAAACCAATAATAAGTGAAAAAATCCTAAGTTGAAAGTACATTTTCAACTTACAGTGGGTTTATCCAGACAACTCCATTGTCAATTGAGAAATATCTGTATTTAAAAAATAATCACAGCTAATACTCACTGAGAGCTTTCTACCTGTTAGGCACTGTTGTAAGCAATTTATTAACTCATTTAGTTTTCACAATAAATAAATTATTTCTAATTTTATAGATGCGGCAAATGAAGCACAGAAAGGCTGAGTAACTTGCTCAGGGTTAGTGACTAAAATAGCTGCATCTTTAAAAAGAAACTTGTTTAGAACAGTTTTTAGATTCACAGGAAAATTGGAAAGACGGTGCGGTGAGTTCCTATATACCTCATACTCAGTTTCCCCTATTATTTATATTTTACATTAATATAGTTCTTTGGTTACTATTAATGAGCCAATGTTGATACGTATTGTTAACTAAAGTCTATATTTTATTCAGATTTCCTTTTTTTTCCCTAATGTCCTTTTTCTGTTCCAGGATCCTATCCAAGATATCACATTACATTAAGTCATTATGTCTTGTTAGGCTACTCTTGACTGTGACAGTTTCTTGGACTTTCCTTGTTTTTAATGACCTTGGCAATTTTAGAAGTACTGGTTAGGTGTTTTGCAGAATATCTTACTCAGCTGAGATTTGTCTGATGTTTTCTTGTAATAGACTGAGGTTATGGGTTTGGGGGAAGAATACCACAGCGATAAAATGCCATTTTCATAATCATATTAAAGGTATATACCTGACTTATCTCTGTTCATATTGACCTTGATCACTTGGAAATAGCTGCATTTTTAACCCAAATAATTAAGATGTAGATTTCATGCTCTTAATGAAACACTGTATTGTACTGCCTACAGTAGGCAGTTTTTTGTGACTATTTAGTCACAGAGTTCACCTTGGGTTTACATGTAAGTAATTTTTCATTATAACTAGTTTCACTTTCTTTTTTTTTTGAATTGGAGTCTCACTCTGTCACCCAGACTGGAGTGCAGTGGCCGCTCCCGGCCATCACAGCCTCGACCTGCTGGGCTCCAGCGATCCTTCCGCCTTAGCCTTCCGAATAGCCGGAACTACAGGCGCGCGCTACCACGCCCGGCTGATTTTTGATTTATTGTAGAGATGAGGTCTCTCCAAGTTGCCCAGGCGGGTCTCGAACCCGCTTTTTCCCCAGTTAATTCTCTTTTCCTGGTTCTTGAGAATGCCACGCCTGGCTAGGCTACAGGCATAATCTCTTGACCACAACTCTTTATTCACAGTCTTCTGACCCATCTTACTAGTTGCTTGCTACTCTGTTTTTCAGCTACAGATATCCTGAACTCTTTTATTCCTTGGTCAGTTGTTTAATTTGTTGCTTTTTTTCTTTCTTTTCTTTTCTTTGTTTTTTTCTTGAGTTGGAGTTTCACTCTGTTGCCCAGGCTGGAGTTCAGTGGCACCATCACGGTCACACAGCCTCGACTGCTGGGCTCAGGCAATCCTTCCACCTCAGCCTTCCAAGTACCTGGAATTATAGGAGCGTGCCACCATGTCCAGCTAAATTTTTGATTTAATTTATTGTAGAGATGAGGTCTCAACAAGTTGCCCAGGCTGGTCTTGAACCCCTGGGCTCACATAGTCCTCTCGCCTCAGCCTCCCAAATGCTGGGGTTATAGGTGTGAACCTGGCCTGATTTGCTGCTTTTCAACTCATCCTAACTGCATAGGTCCTCCTATCCCAACAAGGAGTCATCTTCATATCATCTTTCCTCAAGGGCTATCTCCTTTTTCTTGACCTCTTCATGTTATCACATTGTTTGAGCCAGTCAATTAATTCTGGTTCAGTTTTAAATTAAAATATGGCCCAGGGTAGAGAATAGGTAGCTCTGCTTTCCAAGTTCATTCAGAAACTCAGGTTCTTTCTACATTGCTTCTCCATTTTGTAGGATGTTATCCTTTCTGCATGCCTGAAGCTTCCTCAGCTCCCCCTCTGCATTCCAACCTGTGGGAAGGCACAAATAAAGGGAAGGGAGGACATTAAGCAAATGACACAAGTCACATATATCAGCACTACTCATACTGATATATGAGTCGTTGGTGAAAACTTAGTCACATGGCCACAATTAGTTACAGGGAAGGCTCAGAAATGTTGTCTCCATCTGAGTAGCCATGTCTCTACAACTAAAATTCATTAACTGTGGAAAACGAATGAATTTGAGGTTATAATCAATAGGATACAAGAAGTGAAGACATTTGAATAGAATTCTTCAGAGTTCTTTAGAGCTCATTTTTAAGTGAATTTCTTTCCATATTGCATAATATGTATAGTTTAATCATAGAGTCATTAGAAAATAGAAATAAGCAAAAGTAGAAAAATAAAATTCACTAATTGCCCACCCACCCCAAAATAACAACTGTTAATGTGGGGAAGTATCCTTCTGGTATATTTTCTGTGCAAGAATAATGTCTTTTTAAAATAAAATCTCAATT